AAACTGAGGTCAATTGATGTTCATATGTCATTTGCTCAGACTATCAAGTAATGGATATTTGAATTGATATCTTAAAAAGTAGGAAATTTTGGACTTCAAATTTATGTATTAAGTCTCTCCCATACACTTTGGAGACTTCTATACATTTATATTGAGTACACATAGAGACTATGCCTTATTTTGTTCGTTAAGACTAGTTTTTGCAATAAAGGCATCCAACGAAGCCTGTTGAGCCAGAGGTTAGACAGCAGCCAGTGCCAGCTGTGCAACCAAGGCCAAACTGGCAGAGAGTATTACCTGCAAATGATAAAAGTTCCCACTCCAGAAGGCCAGTGTAGGTCGTTGGTTGGATTTTTTTCTTTACTTTACTTGACTGGACTAAGTACAGTTATGCTTTTTAATAATACTAATCATAGGCTTATGAGGTGGGTCATGAATAGTGATTAATATGTACCAAATAAATGAGTGTTTATTTTGTTAACAAAGATCATTGGATTTGCAATTTATATTGATAGTATTTGTGCAATAAGTATTGTTGTAACCATACAAGTTAACGGTAATTAGTAAAAGATGAAAATAATGTTTTAGATATTATTTCTTCTTTCAATTATGTATGGTTAACAAACTCAACTACTTTTTATAAAAATATTAAGTTTTTTTTTTTTACCCTTCATCATGATAACTAATGGAGAATGATTTTCAGTAGACAAAACATGATTGTAAATTGAATTTGATAAATAATTGTCTGTATAAGATTATGTAGTACTATTTTAGATCGTACACTCATTGTATGAAAAGAAAATACCAGGAGGCTTCTCATTTCATAATTTTAAGCAACTAATATTTGCTGTGGATTTACATGTGTTATTACTTTACATCATATTGAACTTCTCTTGTTTTGAAACCATTTGAATTTTATATGTTTTGTCCTGTTCATTTTTTGTGCTACGTGTAGCATGCAGATGATATTTGTATGTCATTTCTTTACTTTTTTGAATGTCTATACAACTGGAAAAGTTCCTAAAATATATCTCTTTTTTGTATTGGCATTGCAGTGTATATGGCAGATATCATTTATATTGAGAGCTCATGAAGGAACTTAATAATCCAATCAATTTTTTTCCCCCAGATATGACAACATGACAAACAAATACTATGCTCTAAGAGTCATGAGTCATGTGCATCAAGGAGCCTGCAGGCGCGAGTGGGAGGAGTTTGTTGCCCGTCCGTCAGCTGAGCAAAGCCTTGAAGTTGGTGCAATCCTGATGGCTCGCTGGTTCCAACCTCACGCTGACATTAGCATAAAACAGGTACTAATAAAAAGGATACTGGTATTTGTCCTTTCACTTTTTTATATATTTTTATTTATTTACATATTGATTAGAGATTTACACTGAAGAAAATATTCTGTGGATGCTAAGTGTAAAAGGGATATAGGCAAAGATTTTCCTCGACATTATCTTTAAATCATGAATATTATTTTTCTTTGCCTTGTACTTTCCAGAATCATGATTAAATGATGATTTAATCCAATGCCACCAAGAAAATGCTCACTGTAGTTTTGTTTTGTGAAATGTCTCTACACATAAAGGGCTCAACAAGTGCTTAGCCATGAAGGAGTTAATTAGTAGACTTCGTGACCTGACCCAATTTCACCTTTCCTCTTTTTGTTGTTGCTGTTGTTTTAGTTAATGATGGTATGAAAATTGGTGCTGTTATTATTATTAGGCATTATGATTATTATTATGTTATTAACATTACTAATAGCGACATAGGATAGAAATATTTCCAAAAATCAAGGAAAAAGGTAAAGAGGTGAGATTGGTAGTGCAGTTAATTGACTCCATGGTGACTTAAGTACTTGTGGAGCCTTCTGAATGTAAAGACAATTGATAGACTAAATTCATATTGGGCATTGCATATATGTACATGTCAACCACAGTGGCTTTGAGTTGAATATGGGTTACAGCTTGGAAAAATAATGCCTTAAAACTGATACAAATAGAGGCTTTTAAAGAAAATTATTACAGTATATGTATTTACTTTCCCCTTGCAATGTAGATGACCAATGTGATTGATGATATAGCTGATCAGTGTCGCGAACAGCTTCGAATTAACCACCCTGATCATCCAGCCCTCTCTGTGCCCTTAACACCTCCCAGAGAAGTCTTAACGGAATCACGCTGGTCTCATGAGAAGACAATGCAGCTGTTTAAGTGTATTAATCACATCCTTTATTATCAAGTAAGTCTAAAAAGAAGATAATGATGATAATGATAGATTTAGAAATTGACATATGGTTCTATTCTAAAAGCTGATATCCTCTTATTTTCAGAATTAGAGTAGAACTCTTCTTAGAACTTGACAAGTACAATTCTTTCTTCCATACTTCAAATTAGGAAAATCTCATCGAACATCCAAACTTCTTTTCAGCCTCCTATACCTCTTCTGTATTCTTTCATTTTCATATCACTTCACTTCCATATCTTGGAGCCACCTGCTTTTCTGTAATGATTTTGCCTTTATTATACCAAATACTTTTAGAATTAAACCATTTTGATTTTACTTTTGTCTTGTTATGGCTTTTATAAGAAACTTGATATTTTGTATATATATATGATTCGTTGTATTATCTTTAAATATGTCGTCTTCCAGATGAAAATGACTGGTAACAGTGAAGATTACTATAATCTCAAGAATTCATTAATAAATGAAGTTCTCACTTCCAAGAAAGGTATACCAATCTCACTAAGCATTATATATATGGCTGTATGCCACCGCCTCGGCATATTGCTTGAACCTGTAAACTACCCATCACACTTTGTGATGAAATGGAAGATTCCCAGGTAGGCACTTTAGTTTCTGCTCACCTGTTTTAGTCTGACATGTGCTTATTGATTTATTAATTTCTTCATCTGAGTCTGGGGTCAAAAAGTGATTATCCGTCCAAATAGAAAAATTTCTCTGTTTCCCAACTTTGGCATCTACCTATTTCTTAACCTTGAGCTGATATCAAGATGAAAGGCATTCACCTGTAGTTTCTTTTTTGTTGTTACAATTCTATGATTAAGCTTTTGTAAATGTGATGTTCTTTGTTAGCTCAGGAAACCTTCTTTCATGAAAGTAAAAAGAGGAAAATGTAGATGCAAAAGTTACTTTCTGTTTTCTTTTTCACATTTTTATTCTATAATCTTTATATGAGAATGATAAGAAAACATGAAAGAGTTGATATTCATCAAGTTACTTGGTGTCTTCTTTATCCTTCACACATTATCTTTATAGTAACTGACCAAGGGATTATCAGGGAATCTGAAATGTGTTGATTGATTTAAGAAGATTTTTATTCTGATAACTCTTAGGTGTTGTACAAATTGACTTAACATTTCCTTCTATGGCTTTCAGTGTAGATGATTATGAATACATAGATGCATTCAACAAAGGAAGACGGCTAACAGGACGAGAATTGTTAAAGGAACTCCCTCTTGGATCTGTCTGCGACCAAGTACTTCTTATAACCTCTGATGCAATGTCAGTCTTCCAACGTATGATCAGGAACATTATGAATGTGGCACAGATGCAGGCTCATGTTTCCGACCACATGGAATTGTTCTGCTCAGCGACGGAACTCATGAGCCTTCTGACTCCCAATGACCGCAGTATCCAAGAACTGTTGTTAAGGTAAGAGAGAATTTTTTTTTTTTTTTTTTTTTTTTTTTTTTTTTTTTTAATGTTCATATGATTACAATAATTTGAATCACAGTAATCCACTTACTACTTTTTCACCCACAGAATATACTACACTTTAGAAATACACTATGACCGCATTGTGGCCGGTTGTCATCGCTTACTGACACAGGGGCCATCAACAATAATAGAGGAGATGCTTGCAGACTGCGAGCGCATTCTGGAAAGCCAGAAAGATGTTCCAAGACCCATTAGTCCTAACCCAAGATACAGAGAAGTTTCCTATGCCATTGGAATGGTTATGCAGCACAAGCGTTACCACTACACCTGTGTAATATTTGGCTGGGACAGGGTATGTTGTCGCTCATTAGTTTTATTGCTGATGGTTGAAGAAAGAAGGAATGAGAGAATAAAGGAAAGATGGAAGGATAGAAGGAAGAGCAGGGACAGAACAGGACATAGAAAGAATAAGATGTAAGGTTAGGATAGACACTTGTAGTAAACAAATATATGAGAGAAGAGAGAGTTGAGAATGAGGAGAAAAGATGAACTGCAAAGTTGAGAGTTGGTAAGATTGATCAAGTGGAATAAGGTACAAATGACAAAATTGATATTGAAATTAATTTAGTATGGATAGGTTGTAGATGTAGGCAGGAGGAGGCAGATTTATATCATCTACAAATAATTAAAATAGATTACATATATGGAATTTCTGTAAATCAGTGTATTTGTAGATTGCTTTATATTTAGCAAAATATTTCAAATACAAAGAGAGCAAGAAAACTGAATATCTTGATTTCACATGTTTGATGCAACTTTTATGATGTTGAATATACTAAAGTACCAAATAATTTAACGGATTTGCAGGAGTGCCGGATGCCATCTGACTGGGTGCAGCGAATGGGGGTCTATAATCTTCTTTATAAGACAAAACAGCCATTTTACAATGTATTGGTGTATGATGGCTCACACAGGTAAAGTTTGTCATTAATAATCAGTATATTTATACGTAGTTGTTTATGGTGTGTGTGTATGTGTATGAGGTGTTCATTTGTATGTGAATGATTAAAGTTTTAACTTTAATTGCATTTCAGATATGCTGCACAAGAAAATTTGGAAATTGCACCAGATCCCAGACCCATAACACACTCAGATGTTGGTAAATATTTCAAGAAGTTCAATGGAACACACTACATACCCAACACAGAACTTGAGCAAGAGTATCCAGAAGACGAACCTGTCAGAAATGAATTGCTTCGAACTCGGGGATGGTTATAGCAGTATAATAATATTTTACTACAGAGCATTTGTTGGGA